GTGTGCCGCCTTCCTTCATTATGCCATGTTTTATTTATTAATTTATGTCTTGTTTCTGGAATCTTGCTGAAAACCACAGTGACCTCTGATGTTGCTTTTCTTCATTGAAAATCCATTTTCAAAGTGTATTGGCTGTTAATCCATGTGGCTGGTTCTAACTAGTAATGAAAAGACTATAAATTGGCTAATATTTAGGTAAATTAATCTGAACCAGCATTAACAGTTTCTGACTGGTTAACAGAATTTGTGACTATTAGTTCTATTAAAAACTCTAAATAAGTGTTCATTTAAATTCAACTGTTTTTGTACTTATTTCATAAATGCATTGTATAATATATTTCATAACATAATTTATAAAATAAGTTGTGAGTCATGCTGTACTCCTAGTTTGATTGTTATTCTCTTCAGCACTCATTTGCAGCGGCCTAACATGCAGACCTGTCATTGCATTGCAATTACTGGCATTTACTTTGACTAATTAAAAGGTTAAGTCTAGTAATTCCATGTGTAGGTTTAAGTGCCATTCACACAAAGGACAATAACTATAACGACTAAGGATAACAGTACAGAGGAACAATACCTTTGAAATCATTTTCAGAACTAATTTTTCCAGCTGATGAATGATGAAAACATTGACAGCCAATCAAAATCCATCCTGCGTCAAAGAGCTTGGGCATTTAAAGTGGCAGACAACAAAACTGCAGTGCATGCTTATAATAAATAGAACATTTATCTCGAGTTGGTGTGGACGCTAATATAGTTATAATTTTTGGTGTGAACGGGCCTTTAGTCAGTGCTCTAATGTAACAGAAGACTGTATTGTTGTTGATGTGGTGTTGTGGTTAAAGCTAAGGGTTAGTAGTAACCAGATTAAAGAGTTTTATGTGTGCACCCAGATGGAGAGAGAGACCGCACTGTTGTCTCTGTGTGATTCATAGGTGAGAGGCAGGCCAGCTATTTGAATGTCAGTGATGTTGAAAGAGTGAATGAGAAAAAGAGGAGGGAAAGATTTTATTTTGCCACACCAGATTATTGTGTTCTCGCAGGCACAAAATGTTTTTGTACTTTCATATAAAAATCACACAGATACAAAAAAAAATCTGAGCGATTATAACGGAATTAATTAAAATAATTATTTAAGCAGCTTGGTGTTAAAATCCACTTCAGGTTTATTGATAAATCTAATATTACAAAATGCTTAGGTGTCTGAGAGGTATTTTGGTCTTTAGACATGTCTTCAATCAACGCATCTCTTTTGACATTTATTCACAGGGCTATGATGTCTTTAGCTCTGCCATAAGGTGATCTGCTTATGTGAAAATATTTTGGGTCTACCCCACCTCATTCCAGTCTAATGTGGGCTAATGTGGTCCTTGATGGATATAATGTGATTGAAGAGCGCACCTCATGAATGCGATCATGTGCTTTCATCTCACAGGAATGTGGTGCAGTGAGATCTATCACACTATGTTTGTGTAAATCCTTCCTTGATGAAAACATGCCAGCTGTGTTTGTTTGCACCCAACCATGACTTTCTCCTGTGCCTCTATTTCCTTCTCATATCTTCTGCTGGTGTTTCTTGGTTGGTCTGCATTTTCTTTTTTTCTTGATTTTATACTGAAGATTAGTACCACTGGACGGACTCTGCTGTATGATTGCATGCAGCAGATGATGAATTACATAAGAAATAATTGTGAGTTGAGATGTTGTTAGATAAGACGTGAAAGCTGACAAAATATTTTACAAGATATAATATATTATAATTTCATATTGGCAAATAAAAAGAAATGTATTAATTGCATGTTCCTTAAGGTTAATTTATTATTATGATTATTATTTTTATTTTTTATTTTATTTGGCATAGTTTCTGAAGATATCTGAATCACAGTTTGCATTGCAGCAACAGATTGAAGCAGTCTGTCTTTGTCCACATTTTCACGGGAAACCTGCTTTCATTGTAACTGGAGCACAGGGTGGGGGGGATTTGGGATATTCCCAAGCAATCAGTTTACCGTCGACCTTAATTGAGTACATAAACAACTTCACTCCAATTCTGTTAAACCTAGAGTGGAGGCTTTCATTCATATAGCTTCATTCTCTCTCAACAGCTGCCACAGTATTTGTATTGTACACTGCTTTATTGCTGTTTTTTTTTGTACATCCTCTGTTCTTCATTACTGTCTTGTCTTCTGGTATACACTTTTTGAACCTTTCCTCAGTCCTTTTATATGCTGCCCTGTTATTTTCAAAGCCATGATAAAGCCTGTAGAAACAGGAACAATGTGTTCTCAGAACAAATTTGTCAGGTCGCGATATAGCAAGAGATTTAACTCTGAATGGACCAGCAAAGCTCTTTTGAGAATAAGAAGAGGTCTCCTCAATGAGGAGTTTCAGCAGAAATGAATAGATTTTAAAGGGCAACTCTTAATTTTGGATTAGGTGAGTCAGGCTGTGAGTAGATCTCCACATACTCCCACAATTCTGTGCCTACCAGCAACAAAGGAACGACAAATCCCAACTGGCACGATGCCCTCCAAGTCTCACTAATGAGAGTGTCCTGAAAAGTGGGGGGCGTGAGAAAAGTCTGGCTCGCTCTTTCTCTCTCTACCCATCTTTACTTGGTATCTGCACTGTACTGCATCTTCATATCCACACTTATCCCCAACAGACAGACACTTTATTGTAATGTAGACTTAGAAACAGATGTTTAATTTTCTGCATCCTTATGAGATGTGACTTGCCATTGTGTTTGTCCCATTGGTGTTCTTGGTAGTGGTGAGAATGACTGCTAAATGGTGACTGCTGCTGTTGTGCTGACTAAAGCTGTGCTATTTCTGTTTCAGTCCATCATGGAGCAGTTCAACCCTTGCTTAAGGAACTTTGTTGCCATGGGGAAGACTTACGAGAAGGCCCTCTCCAGTGAGTACATCAGTGGTTTGTTCTTTATCACTCTTGCAGGCAATGAGCCAGCTATTCAAGCTCTTGTTTCATTGGTCTGCTTTAATTTATGAGAAGATACTGCTTGAAATTCATGGCTACAGAGAGCGCCACTCCTTGGTCACATACACATTTATGAATAGCATCTGGGATTTGTTATTGCTAATACAAAAACTCAAATTATTGCATAGAACTATAGTAGAATGTTTGTTGAATGTTTGTTAAGAATTAATGTTTTTGTTTGTGGGGCGGAAGACTTCCTGTTCCCTCGTAGTGATGATGTCATAGAATGTTACATGTCTAAACCCATTTGCACCCTGAAACCCCCTAAACATCCATTCGGTTCATGCATGTTGCATCTCCAGAGCTGTCACATATGTGTAACCAATGACAATTCGGTGATGTATTTCTGTTATATGTGCGGACCTTCATGTGTGTTTTTTTGAGATGTTGACTGGGCAAGGACAAAGACGTAAACGTTTCTGAGCAAAAATATGCACTGGGAGAAAGGGAGAGTAAAATGGAACAGAGGACAGGCGTAAATAGGCCAGAGAGAGCTTTGGGAGGGAGCGAAAAAGGGAACATGAAAGATGTATATTGAGGACAAGAACGATGCGTCACTACAAGGAGGATGAAGTATGGCAAAAACAACACTAGGTGGCACAGGCATCTGGTGTTCAGAGCAACGATTAAACGTCCTTTTCTGCATCGCCTCTTTCTTCCACAATGATTTATTCTGAGAATAATAATTTACTAACAATGTCTCATTTTTAACATGTAACACTATTGAAAAACTGCTTTCCATGACAAATTCTAACCAGGTGCGACGCAACAAGACGACAAGCAGTTTACCGAACACGAAAACCCAACAACTAAACCAAACTAAAGCCTATTACTATATTTTTTTACTACTACTACTTCCACAGTCTCTCCTCATCCATATTTGATGTTTAATATGTATGAGGAGTAGTATTTCGGTCCAGTGAGATTTCAGTCTGGGTGAGGTTTACTTGGCATGAGGCCGTAGAAATAGAAAAACAACAACAACAGCAGATAAAACAGATAAGTCGTGATCATGGCTGGATAGGAAAGTCCTGATTAATATGAAAGAACGTTTAAATCATTTGTCCCTTTTATTGCATTGCTTCTGGTTAGTACACATTGTTAGGGTGTTCTACAGTTTTAAACAGATGCTAAACCAATGGGATTTGTGTTATATTCAGGTAAATAATGCTGCCACATTGTCTGATCTCAGGGTATAATGCATACAGTTTTCATGTGTTCAGTTTAGCTCCACAGACAGGGCAGAAGCTGTAGGATGAGCATCTAATCTCTGTAGAGTTGCACTGTGCCAAGTACTGCAGAGAACCAATCACTTTCCTCACCATTCCAGACTTCATCTAATATTTTATGAGGCAGAAAATACAAGAAAAACACCAACGCTCTAGAGGGTAGACCGCGAGAGTGTGTATGTGTGCGAGAGTGTGAAGTCTGCTAGATAAGGTTAAAAATAGACCCAACTTGAGTGAGATTTGTGCTCCCATCCTTGCAGATCAGCCTTGGCTGCAGCTACGAAGGTTCACAGAATCCATCAGGGGGATTTGCTTGAGTTGTAAATATGCCAGGTCTTGCAGGCGGCATAGTGGAAACCCTCTACAGTACCCACTAATGACTAGTGCAGATGGTGGCCACTGGGCATTTACAAGTTTTTGGGCTGCTTGGCAAATGCAAGAAACCAATAGTAAAACTAATAGATCATTAAAATGGCATAGTACAAAAAAAAAACATTGGCTGCTATTGTTCAACAGTAGCTTGAGATTTTTGGAGGTCCATTTGCATGCCCTAGAGTACATGATTATGTTGAGATGTCTTGTGCATAAGCAGCTGTTAAGCCTAAAGTCCTCCTTTGCCTTTTTCTTGGAAGTGTTGGAGAACTCTTAGAAATGAAGGATTGAAAGGGTTAGGAAGTTAAAAAAATTAGAATAAGAATAATTAGAGACCAAAGACCTTACAATTGGAGACTTCTGTCTGCACTAAGCTAGAGAATATCACATACAAAATTGCCATGTGATAACTGGGTCTAGATTGGCATTTTCTGTGGTTTTTAACTTCGGATTGTCTCCTGTGGCTGATCAATGTTTCCTAAGAGTTGGTTGGAGAGACTTTCTATCCTATTTTTCAGACCTCTGTAATCCTCTTTCCTTCTGCTGCCTCTCTCGTTCCTTTACCCCTCACCACTCAGCCTAACCGCTGGAGCACCAAAGCCCCTAGATTTCCCCCTCTAATCCCTCACAACCAGGACGCACCTTATCCTGAGCCTGGGATTTGTGCGAACACTAGCAAATAAGTCTGTACATTCATACGGAATTGGGCTGCTATTGGTGTAGCCTTACCACCTCCACCCAAACACTCCCACTGCGTTGAACTGGGATGGCCATATGGCATATTGAATTTGATGTGAATGTCAACAAGGCTGTTAAGGATAGAAGTACAACAGTTTGTTCAAAATATCAGAGGCCAGAAGCAGATCTTACAACACGAGTACATGTGGCAATGCTGAGAATGCAATGCTTGCATACTTTCACTGTGTAATGAATTGGACAGGGATGCACAATATTAAAATTCTGGTACAGAATTGTGTAACTCTGATACAGATAAGCTGGTTGTAATTTTATGGCTGATATTAAATGCTACATTATTTTGTCGAAATAAATTAAAACACTAAAATCAAATGTTATTAAATGTAAATTACAGTATAAAAAAAGTAATATTGATTTTGAGATTTGCTAAAGATAAAGTGTTTTACAGTGTTTTTTACTGATTAATGCCAAAGTTAGATGGCGACAAAAGTAATCTAAAATGTAAAAATTTAATTACTTTTCCAATAATGGGCAATCCAGTATTGGAACAGATGTAGCATTCCTAAACTGTAAAATATTATGTGCTTTGGTAACAATATTACACATAATATTTTTGAGTAGTTTAGGGCTTGATTTTTTTTCAGTGGAATCTACCTGAATAAATAATGTAAAATCTCCTAAATTATTTAATCTATGACACAATGAATTTAATATTATTAGTGAAATGTGCTCATTTATTTTAAGTTGTTTCTCAAAAGTCTGTGATTTTCAGTAAGGCCTGTTTATATTTAACTTTGAGTTACTTTGTACAATTAAAAGACAAAATTCTTTGTTTGCATACTTCAAACCCCTCAAAAACATTATCTGAATATTGGATGTGATATTACAACAAATTGGATGTACTTCTATCCCTCACAACTTTTTACATTTGCATCAAAATAAGTATGCTGTGTTAGTCTGTAGGATTCTTACCTGATTTGAACAGTTACTTGATTTGAAAATTATGAAGTCACATTGGCTTATTCTACTGCTATGCATGCTAACCTTCGCTAACCACTTGATCAGTACCTTCTGGTTCTAAAAAGCACTTTGTGCTTCTTGGCACTGTCCTGCCTCACTTAACCTTCCGTGATCCTCTGGCTTCGAGAGAGCCTGATTGAGAGCCAGCCCTTCTCTGCCCTGGTGATGCAGAAAAGCCACAGCTGTCCCATTGCCCTCAGTAATGTGCTATCTGATGTGAATGCTAAGTTTAGTGGGGTATCAAGCTTTTTATTTGTTTTTGTTATTTTAAAGTAATGGTACTTTTGCTATTCATTGCTCCCCAATCACAAGCTCCACCCCCACCTCCCCCAGTTCTCTGGCCGAGCCATCATAGAACATATAGAGCTTAAAGCTTTCCCATCCACCACTCCTTTTTCCATAGATGCGGCACCTGTGGGTTGAGGGAAGCTTCGGGTTAGCACGTTAGCACACTCCCGATTCTTATGTCCCCAATGCTTCCATGTTTCCAGGTGTGACATTTGCAGCAAAAGGCTACTTCGACGCACTGGTGCGGATGGGAGAGCTGGCCAGCGAGAGTCACGGCTCTAAGGATCTTGGTGAGTTATAGACTGTAGCTGCAGTGCCCCCTGTGTTTGGGAGGGGGATTGCAAAAGAAAATAACGTTATGGTTCCAGTGTGAATGGCTTTGGATGTATGAGTATAGAACAGCATATTTAAGACTGCATCTTTGGATATAACACACACTATCTTTGTACAAATATACACTCTGCAGATTCATTCATTTGCTTATTGGTGATTTGTTGCATTGTGTTCATTCTATCCTGTTGTCTTATTTCCATGTCTCTCTATGAAAAATCGTTCATCTGTAGGACTTTAGATTTAGGGAGTCGTGATGAGACTGGAAAACAATTCTCGACGCATCTCAAATTTTCAGTACAGTCTAGGTGTGCAATTCTTTTGCAGTAAAATATGCAAAAAATATAGTTGCTTGCTTTGCTGTTTCACAACCATAAACTTTGCAATTCCACTGTGCATTAGAACAAACAATACATTTTTAATTGTGATTCGTTTAAACGCATTAATTGTACCTTTTAAATCATATTAAAACGTTGATGTATTTTTAGCATACATGCCGCTTCAGATGGCATATGTCCCACCTTTACTACATAAAATGGCTTTAGTCATGTTCTTGAAATATTTAAGTTTAATGTGGCAGTTTTTGCACACCACAGGATTTTATTATCTATTATATTTTTATTTTGCATACGTTTATTTTGCAATTTATTAATTTAAAAGGAATGTTTGAATTCACTATGAATTTTATGCATTTAAGAAAGCATCTGCAAATCATTTGTTTTCCCTCCAGCCCTTGTATGAATTATGCCCCATGAATGATTTCACAACATGTCAATGAAAAATTGTGCAAGCATTTTTTGAGATGACATTCAAAGAACACATCTGCAGTCACAGCACAATAATGTTTTTCTTTCCTCATAAATGTTGCTGTCTGTTCATTATTTATAAGTGACTGTGCCTTGTAGCTACTGTAGCAGTGACTAACTGATAAGTAAACACCATAACAACCAATAGTAAAATGGGCGCACCAAATACTTGTCAAAATATACAAATAGTAACTCAATGCCATTTACCTATCCAGGAAGTGTTGTTCTATTCTATTTGTATCTTGCTGAAAAGAGCATTCAAGTCAGAAATTAATTTGATCTCCATCAGGTTAGGTACATTTGTTTGATCTCCAAGGGGAAATTTACTGACCATAGTTTGAGTTTGAGCCTCAGTGCTCAAAGTCTTGTTGTCCGGTTGTGTTTCCAGTGCTTCACTTAAGGTATAGTTTGAGTCTAATCAGACGGACTTCAGTGGAATGTGAGACTCTTGATGGTATTGGCTGTTGAATCTACAGCATAATCTGTTTCTAAAAGCAGTCGCAGCAGCAAATATTTTCTCTTAAAGGAGGACTGGAGGGGAGAGGCTTACAGAGAGGACATGAAAGCTGGTTAAACTTACATTATTCATCTCAGAAAAAGTTTTCTGAGCGTTCATCTTTTCATTTCACTGGCTGGTGTCTCATTGAATACAATTTCAATGAAGCTCTAATTTGATCCGTAAAAGGCTATTATTTGAATGAATTTAACTTTTGAGATTAGTTGCCTGATTTCCAGCATTCTCAATATCAAAACAGTATAGCCAGGCGGAGCTAGAGTCTTTATATGAGATTATGTTTTAGTCTGCAAGAGAGCTATTTCTAGAGTGCTGCTGTCTCAGCATTGTTAAAAAGCAGCAATATCTGTGTATGAAAAGTTTAATGAGAAAAGTTTTATGAGGATTTAAGTCTCTCAGCCTTTTCACCAGAGACTTTTTCATCACTAGTCAAATTAAAGCATGTCTGTGTTTGTTTTGTACCTTCACGATTATGCAGAAAATGTATATTTAATCTTCAAAAATGAATAAGGCTGGGTGGTATGACATTTATTCCCTCTGATACTAGAATATGTCCATCAAAAGAGATTTTACTATACTGCTATCGTGGAAGATATCAGGAATGATTTATGCTATTATGACAGTGACAAGAAATAAACATAAATTAATACAAAAATAGTGGGTTTTTGTAAATAAAGTGGGTGTGACCCAAACAAGTAGTTGTCTGCGTGCTAATATTTCTTTTGCTGTTCAGTTGTTTTGTATTCAAGTGTTACATAAGTTAGACATCATTATACTCTCCTCTCTCTCAATAGTGCATTTAATGTTTGTGTGCATGCATGTATTGATTACCTAATGTTTTTACAGCTGTTCCAGTAATGCTCATGTCATCTGTCTGCGCCTGTTCTTTTACAATGAATGTCAAGCATGAGAGAACTACATCAGAATCATAATGCAGCTTTTACTAGGGATGCATATGTTGACACCATATTGGTCTAATATCTGCAAATATGTATTTATAGTAGCAGCAGATATTGGATATACAGCCAAATCATAAAAATCAACCAGAGATTAAATATCGGTGCATCCCTATATTTTAAGTATCTAATGAGCAGTGCTTCACATTTGTTAACAGTTTGTTGCTTGTGCATGTGTCTGTTTCCCTGAAGTCTCGTTCTTGTCTTACATTTTATCGACACTAATAAAAGGTGCCACTGAGTCTTTCCCTTCACATGACCCAAAAGCACTCCAGATGCATGTCATAACCACAAAACATATTTTGTCTGGTTGCTTTCAGAGTGAATACTATGATAGATTTGCATGAGCAAGACAAAGAAGTGTGTCTTCATGGTTGAGTGACAGGTTTTGTTAGGATCAGGTCTGACTCTGTTCTTTCATTATATGTTGAATGTCAGTGTTATTTAGATTCAGAGGCTTTGAAAGAGCTAGCAATACATCAGTGGCATGAAGTGGAAACTTTTATACAACTTGTCTGTGTTATGAATTTATACACATGCAGACTTGTGTGTGGGTGAGGGTGCGTGCGTTTAAGCACGTGGGAACTGTACCATCAGCCATGTGGACCCAACCGATTGCTGCGCGCTTAAATAAATCTCTTAAGTGAGGTCTTAACCCAGCGTTAATAATTGATACAGACATATTTCTGGCTTTAGCATAATTGTATGCTATAAGGAAGGATGGGAGGCTTCACTGGCCTCAGACCATCATGATGATGGCCATGAATATTTAAAATCAGTCGCAGTCAAACACTTTTGCCCGTCATAGTCAGCCCCATGTGAAGATGTTCCTGTCTTCTTGGACTTGTTAGCATGTCTCTGAGATGAACCGAAGGGTTTTAAAGGATGTTGCACAAAAGAGGCCACATGTGCATTAATAATGTACGCTCTGAAGCTTAATGGGTAGAACAGTTCACGTGCCTGAGGTGTGTGTGCACTTGTTGTGTTATTGCTTATGGATGTCGACTTGTTGTCCAACAGCCTAGTGCAGTTGACTTGTTTATGTATGTAGAATAGGCCTGTTTTCTTTTATTTGTATTTATTTATTTATATGATATAATGTTATATATTTATTTGAATATTTATTTTGTATATTTTCAAATAAAAATGAATTTATCTTTCAGATTGCATTGCATCTCACAATGTTTTTTGACAGTTTAAGACGCTGTTTAAGACTAGAATTTTCTTAAAGGGATAGTTCACCCAAAAATGAAAAAAATGATGCCCTCATGTCACAAAGGCTTTTTTCTGTAGAACACAAATAGAAGATATTTTGAAAAACATTGGCCTCCAAAATAACATTGGACCCCACTGAAGGCCTGATCATACCAGAACAAAAAAAAATCAGTTAAATTTTCGAATGGAATTTGTCTGAGACTGTTTAAAAAAAGGAAAGCTGAAAATTTTTTTTGTACCTGACATATCCCTTTAAGAATAAGTCAACTAGTCATTCATGCAATCCACTGACTATTTGATTTACAAAATGGTGTCAACTGATTGGTTAAATGGTTACAACCAGATGTCAAATGTGATTCATCAGAACACATTGAATCACCTGAGATGAATGTGAACACCAAGTGTAAGCAGGACTAGATTAGCACTTACAATGATGTAAAATCTCAGGAAGCGACCAGTTATAAAATGGAATGAGCGGAAGTGATCAAAATGTATGAAATTACGTTATATCATTGCAAGAGCTTTGGTCTCAGGATACTGGATAATGGTGGGATTTCATTAAGTGCCGTTGTCTTCCTCTTCAACGCATCCTCAACTCTGAATAACTCAGTCTCCTGCTGTGAAGAGATGTGCAGTGATTCTTCAATGCAGCACTTGTGCATATCACATCACCCACCGCCTGCAGTCAGCCCACGCACAGATGCAGGAACGCAGCCGGCCTGAGGAGAGAGAGAGAGCCATGAGCTAAAAATAGATGAAACACTTGCCTTAACAGGAGAAGTTCCGCTAGAGAGAGAATGAGAGAGCAAGAGTAATGTGAATGCAGCCCGTGTTGTGAATTTAGAGTCCCAGAATGCCTCCTTGGTGATGTCAGTGTTTCCAAAAACAGCTTCCCCCGTCTTCCTCTTCAATGCTTCACGAGTGTGTGGAATACTAAACAGCTTCCTGTTCCCCCTGCCCAAATATGGGTATCAGTCATCATGGCTGTGTGATACCAGTAGGTCGTCGTCTTCTCACGTTTGTAGTTTTAGCTTTGGGAGTTAAATTACAACCATTTATGCTGATAATTAGTCTAAATCCTGGATATTCTCGCTTGAGCACAAATATTTTCAGAAAGGCAACTGTGTTCTCTAACACTATTAATTGCATCTGTGAGCATCTTGCTTTTGCTGTAGTCACAAAATAACTCTGGGGTGTTTGAATAATTAATGCTGGCAAATCTTGGTGCAAACTGAAATGCTCCAGCAACACATCCGGTCTGATAAGCTATTCAAATAAATCCCTCAAAATATGCCTCACAGATCAGATTTCCAGTCCAAGCATTGAGACTTTGTATGTTTAGCTTCTTCACTACTGTGGCACATCACAATGCATGTTTTTTTTTATGTACAGACATTGTAACAAAATATTCTACAGCAGTGGTTAATAGGGTTGATGTGTTCTGACATGCAGAACATACAATAAACCAA